TAAGCAATTACTATGACTATTGAAATATTAATATTAAAGTGCCTAGTCATAGCTAACCACGCGCATTCTTTTAATTCCTATAAAATGCGTTATCGTTTGGCAGTAGTGGTTTCATCAATTCTGAATCAAGGTACTGTACCGTGCTAGATCCAATGCGAACAGCGCGAGGTACAGTACCCTATCAGTATCACAACGAAAATCAACGGTATGGTCTTTGTAGACAACGTTATCTGATGGAGTCGAAATTTAATGTCATATTTGACTAATCAAATTGCAGTAGAAAAGAGATGAAGTTATCATTTAGGATTCAAACTTGAAGGAAATTGAATACCTTACAAATAATATGATGTAAATGATTCTAATTAACTTATCCAGCGAAATCGAAAATAAACAACACTAGCATTAGGAAACGAAGTTTTTTAGAAGAAATTTTTCATGATATAACTCATAGATTGAATACGTTTAGCAATCCATAATAATTTAATAATCATAGCGATCAGTTAATAAAATATCGTACGGTAACTCCAACATCATAATCATTCAGCTGTATCCTTACCAATTAACGCAGTGCTCAGTCTCTTCCTTTACTTCCATTTTGTCACTGTGGTTTGAAAGGTTGGGCTGCATCGAATCCACAGATCAAGGAACCCGAAAATTCGATTTAACTGTAATTGATTATATTCTTAACGGACACATGATTTAGTTGCAGTTACTATACCCTAATGCAGCCTCAAAGATTTCATCTCACCTGATATTCTTACTTAAAATTTCGCAACTGATTTTCATTTAGGTTCGACTAAAATCTACAGACTGGAAATTTTTATTGTTATTTCGCAATAGTTAGTACTGAACTATGAATGATTGTTAGTAATTATTAATAAGTCGTACAGTAGTACTGTACTATGAATGATTGTTAGTAATAATTATTAATAAGTCGTACAGTACTATGAATGATTGTTAGGAATTATTTATTAATAAGTCGTACAGTAGTACCAAAATTACAAATTTCTTAGTTGATACAATATACAGTATGCTAAAACTTCGCAGCTCTGCATCAACCGTGTAATAAATGATAACGCTTAAACTTTACAAAGTAGTAAACTACACGCTAATTAATTATAGTCAGCCTGGTCATACAGTACAGTAACGAATTAGTACTTGAGCCTGACAGATTCACGTTACATTTACGCCGTGGGTAAAATAAATTATATCTCGTATCCAATACCTCAAGTAATAATTTTTCACTTGTAGCCGTAAGTAATAAATTTCGACGTCCTGTGCATAACTCGAAGGACTAAAATATTTCATCGATAGAAAGCCAAAAAGTGCTGACGTTGTCATAAAGAGTGACAACACATGCAAACGGTGGACCAACAAGCGTACTGTACTGTACTGTACGGTACATTCACAGTTCTGTAACTGTACTGTACGTACAGTACAGTACTGTACAGTAGTGTACAGTTCTATAAATAAAATAAAATCGACAGTATGGTGCAGACGTGCGTCAAAGATTCTGTATCACAGTCACTTGTTATATAACAGTGAGTATATTCACAACTATGCTATTAAATTGCTTCTCCGATGGTATTCAAAAGTCAAGCACTTTATAAGGGTGGGGATGACAGTAGCGTAATCATATAGTATAGTAATCCGTCAGCAACGCGACGGATGATTGTACTAGTAATAATTAATTGACACCGCGAACGAGTAGTTCATTGATCGCTCCTTATACTTCGCGTACTTAAACTTTACTGTACATAGTACAATTTATCACTGACTCACAACTATCCCTGTCGTTTCTATACTTTGGATTTGACAGTATTCAAAAAATTAATTACTGTAATAGCTCAGTGGAGAAAAAAAGAAGCTGTCATTGGCACGATATGGTGTGCGGGTCTGGCTAGTAAAGTGGGCGGGAACAATATACAGTACTGTATATTCGGAGGATCTGGTAGCGCTTACTGTTTTCTCTTCAGTACTCACTCAATCTGATCTCAAGTTCGAATGAAGTCATTTGAAAACGGTTTTCATTATTAATAAAATGTTAAATAACGCTACTTGAATTAATTAATAAGGGTCATTTAAATCAATATTTAACAAACACTTCCATACATAGGACATAAAGACACACTGGGCTTATGATATTCTTCTAATATTTCTGAATTCTAACTGCTAGGTTGATTTTGTGTAGTATGGTATATAGTTGCGTTATGATGAGGCCCAAAGCAAGTGTCATCTAACTCAAAAATTAATAAACACTTCCATACACACGCATAGGACATAGCATAAGACATGCAGGTCTTATAATGTTCCTTTAATATTCTGAATTCTAACTGCTAGGCTGATTTTATGTAGTGTGGTATATGGTTTCATTGTGATGATGCCCAGACCAGTAGTTACATCCTAACAAGAAACGTTTGCTCATTCACCTGATCCTCACTCAAACAAGAAAAAACTAGGAAAATTGTAGGAGTCAGATGAATGAGCAAACGTTTCTCATTGTCATGTAACCATATTCTCCGTAGCAGATATTTACTGGTAGTAACACAAATTTATTAAAACGTGAGATATTATTATATCAAGTTATCTATTGCAAATTGCTTATCTTGATCCTCAAAGGAAATCCAAAATGCTACAAATATACTCTGCTTTCATCTAGTTTTCAACAAATTTTAAACATTAAAATATACGTATGTCCGTAAGAATCTTGCACATTCTTAATAATTAATTTTATAGTACAACCTGCGCTGGTATTACTGTTCTAGTAAGTACTGTACGCTGCCTTATATGGCATCCAATATCTATTACGGATGCAGAGTTATTACTTATAGTCGTATTATGGAGATACAAATAACTATAAGAATCTGGTGTGTATCAAATTAATCAGGACGTGAATTAAAACAATATTGATTTTACTGCATCAAATAGGCTGTAATACCGTAATAATTAATACTTATTATTACTGCAGATGATATAATTATTCGTAAAAAGAAACATCACAGCACTTAAGAACCACTAGGGAACTGACCAAGGATCCATAATACAAACACATACGGCAAGCACACAATGCAGAAAGTTTTTATCAAGTCCAATCTTATAACGAATTGTAGCTGCTATTGGGTAACCCGATCATAAAAAAACTAGTAATACGGCAGCGTTACCATCTAGTAGTCATATATACGAGTAAATTTATATAGTACAGTAAGAAAATTAGATATGAATTTCACGATAGACATACGAGAGCTAAAATCCAAAATACAGAAGAATTGGTATATCAGATTTGTAACATGTATTGATAACTACCAGCACTTTCCGGATGATAATATTCCGTATATGAAATAATATACCATTCTATAATATCAGATTTGAAAGCTTCCGTATAAATCTTAACGTTAAGAGTCATACTAATCAAGCTGTTTTGCTCATAAAGGCGAAAATGATTATAACCGTCCGACTTACATGTATCATACAGCACAACATTCTTTGAATAAAATTGCATTGTTCGCATCAACTTAAGTAACGCTATTAAAACTTTAATTATCGTGACGGTGTAAAATAACTAAAACGGTACTAAAAATCTTTACCATAATGATAATACATAAAGGTGTAGAAAATGTGACCAACTGAAATTTCATAGTACCAGATCTCAAACTTACTATTGAAGTGCTTCTTGAAGAAGATAGGCCTATAACACAATGGCAAATAAATCACTAATTGAAATAGCTTCACTAACATGTTTATAAAGCAAAAAGAAAGGAAAGTACCTGGTATTCGTTTCCTGTCACATTTACTTCCATAAATCCAATAGTGGGACAGCAAGTACTGGAATAATTTTGTTTGCATATAATACAGTAGATTGGTACGTAAACTTTATTATCGACTTCTGAATAATAACTATTTAGCCAATACATTCCTATAGTATAATATTTATTGCATAGAGATTTAAAATAGTTAATAATTATATTATGAAAGTCTATAAATTTACGGAGAAATGAGATTATATCAACATTTATTCCATGAGCGATTCTATACGACCTGGCTCTGTATTCTGTGATAGTAGCTTGCCATTAGCAGCAATACATTCTTTTCCACATTTGTATACATTTGTGGATAAAATCCTAAGATCTTTATCAATCTTACGACCAATTGAGCAAAGAAACTCAAGGTGCATTTTTCTAACTACTTCGATAAAAACTAATTCACACGAGCATTCCTGTATGTCTTCTACCATGAAATAGTATTTATTAAATGAACAGGTAACATTCAGAGTATCAGTATTTAGTCGAATGCCTAAAATTAGAGCAGAAAAGCTCAAAGCAGCTATAGAAGTGTAAAGTAACAATACATCATGTCTTACCTCCACTATCACTTTCTTTAAGTAATAAAGATCCACAAGTAATGCAACATTTATTAATTTTATGCTTCTCATTCATTAACGTCTGAGATGTCCTAGATACTGCAGAAGAAAATTACTTACAGGTCGATCATAAATTAACAATTACCTTCCGATTGTACTAGCTATTAAATGATGTATGATGTGCTCAGTTAGGCTATTGAGATTAATACCCGGTCCAGCAGTCTCAAGAATTAATTCGTTTTCGGAATCAGAAAATTGCTCAATGTTAACATTTTCAGATTCCGGTGTCATAGTACCAGTGCTAGAACTATTACATGAAAACAGCGATGAAGATCCTGAAGCTTGACTAGATATGTCATTGGCAGGTGCCAAACACAATTCTTTATTATTAATACTGATATTTGCGCCAACGTGGAAACTACTATCGATTACATTTATGACATTGTCATCGTCGTTTATAATCTTATCAGTCGTTATCATGGTCTGAGAGTGATACTTTTCGGAATTGGGGCTTGAAAGCAAGTGAATATCATCATCTTGTCTAGATTTGCATGTGTTACTACATATAGTTTCTAGCGAATAATGAAGTAGAATAACCTTAAATCCTCAATCCGCGAACGTACGCGAGAAATAAACGCACGTGTTAGTTCAAAATTAAGTTCATACCGGCGACCAGCTTCCTAGCAGAGACAAATCCTGTGCATAAATTTAAATTTGGCTTGCTTACGGGAGAGCTTAAGTCTACCATTAAGGGGCTTTTGGTGCACTCAGGAGAAGTTAGTATTGACATTTTCTTTTCAGGTGTAAGGTATTTCGAGACTGATTCTTGAGTACTGATAAAGTAAGCGTAACGCCAATAAGTTATATTTATGGCTTTACTAATATATATATAGACGAATAAAACCTTAACTACAACAAACTTAGATGATAAAGGAGTTTCGCAACTTTCAATCCTCCCAGAAACAAATGACGATAAAGTTGCTAAAGTATCCGAAGCAAGACTGAAATGTTGGACTCTCTGCCGCACCCACTTGGCTAATCCTAAAATGAAATGCAAAATTTATATCAAGAGTTACTTGAAGAAATGTATATTGCCATTAAGTGTTCGAGACAGATACTACTGTATACCAGCGGTATATTTTGTTGATTTTCCAAAGCGGTCATCCAACAATAACAATGCTCCCCAATCGTTCCTATCCACAAAAAGTTATGTAGAAAGATGAGAACTGGGTAACTAGCAAAAGGCTTGATAATAATCTTACCGATTTCTTATACAACGACCTAACGCCTAAAAAAGACGTAATAATGAGTTCAACAAGATAAAAACTAGCTCGAGCATGAGGACTTCAAGCTTACCTGATTAAGAGCTCGATATGCTTGAATTTCATACCATTCCTTACCAGTTAATAAATTTCTTTGCGCACTGAACTTGTCATTATATTTTTTTTTTAATTCAATTTTTAAGTCTTTGATATTGGGATATGGAATCCCGACTGTTATTACTGCTCTAGCGTTATCATCAGCAAAATCTAATCCTTCGCTAACTTTTCCTCTACAGACAGCTAAAAACAGTCCTCCGGATGGACCAGACATCATATTTAAAGCAGCTGCGGATTAAAAACTAATAAGTCACAGAGGAAGAAGATTCACTGAATATGCGTATCATGGTTTGAAAAATGTAAACTCACCATTTGAATTACTAACTGAATCGTAAAATTTTTGTAAGAGATCGTCAAAATCTAATGTGATTAAACATTCTCGGATTACTTTGTCGTACTAAGTAAGTAAAATTTGCACGCTCTTTAAATTTACAAGACATAAATAATACCTGATTTGTTACCGCCTCTAGGCTCAGCAATTACTATTTTTACGGCATTTAATGAATTCCAAGTATCCGTATTCTGAAATTTACGCTAAAGTTACTAAATAGACATTATTAAAGAAAATATTGTAGACTAACCTGCCATCTCTTAACCACTTTGTCCAACAAGTTGTATGAGGGAAAAAAGCATAGTATCCCACCTGGAATAATCTGTTAGGAGGGACGTAACTATTAGGCTGTAATCTAACAGTTTCAAAATCGAAATTCTCAATACCCTGCACGCTTCCAAAATGATATTGCCGAGTTCATCTTGAAATGCAAATGTCTAACAGATAAGTTCAAATAACAATGAATGCTACCTGATAGTGCATCTTATTTCAATTTAAGTAATTAACTCTATTGATTGTTCAAAGTACGTTAGAGTGTAGCGTTACCTCTGCTGATCTGTACGAGGCATTTAGGGATACACCATTAATTCCCTCCGACAATGTAGCCACTAAAGCTTGAGAATAATTTATTATATGTGCAGCTTCCAGACGAATCGAAAAAGCTAGGCCAAGTTCGCTCGAGAACGAATTCATCGGTGATAAAGTGCCGGAAGTTAATATAACGGAATGAGCAGCAGGTCCAATGTCGTCGAACGCCTGGACAATAGAAGTGCAATCAATTCATTGATATACGAGTACATATGCAAATCATCGCTGAGAATGCGCAAAGATGGAATGGTCGCAATAATGAATTTAGAAATTTAAATTCTCATCACATACTACGGCTGGATTCATACACCAGAAGTTCAGGGAATATGTCCACTGTTTCCTCGTCTCTAAAGCAGACGTAGCAAGTTTCAGCTTAAGGAAGGGTAACAAAAGTTTAAATCACAGGAAATTCAGCAAAGTTTCATAACTTACGGCCAGTCCGCCATCTCCTTCTCCCTTGAGTCTGTAGGCGTAGGCATAAAATAATGTGATACTGCAAGTTACTATGAAATAATATATAAACTAAATTATACACTAACCGCTTCTACAGGAATATTTACGACGCTTTTAACGAGGGTGATTCTGTAAAAAATGATCATGTAACCGAAGATCAGTGATTGAATAATTTGCAGCATCTATAGTATCAAAACAAAATCATTGATAGTGACTAACTTGTAATCCGTACAGTATTTTTTGTCGGTCCGTAAAAGATATCCAAAGACAAGCATCATACCCTTTAAATAGAGAAGAGTCTTTCCAGAAGCCGCCAGGACAACGCCTGTTTCAATTCTTAAAATAGGTATATGCATTACTGTGAGCTTATAAAGGTAACAGATGTCTTGAACAATTCTTAAGTATTCTCAAATGTAATAGATTGCCAAGCTTACTTTTTAGAATACTCAGCGTGTTCATATTCAGCAATCTTATTAACGTGATGCTAAATGATAAATAGCACAAACATTTAAATTTTATTAAAAGTTTTTATGATATCATCATTATCCCAACATTTAATCCTTTATTATATCTATATACTTGTATGGTTGGGTATGTTTCAACAGATATATCCATACGTTCAAATATAGCCAAAATCTCGATCGCAGACCAAACTTTTGATGCTTGTTCAAACCCGGTATTTTTTAGAGAATGCGATTCATCATTTATCCATAACCATAACTTGTGACACTATGAAATCAATATGAATCTAACTGTTTGTAACTTAATATTTTTATAACTATAGAATAGAAAATCGAATACAGTTTATACCATTGCGTGTATAGGTCCATGGTGACCCGTAAGTATATCCCGTTCGACTAGAAATGTAACAAAATTAACAACATTAGGGCCCCTGTCATTTTGTATCTGTAAATGGTAGTTTGCTTTCCCTATTTCCGTATCTTACTTAAAAAATTTAAATCATCAATCATCTCTTTGAGAGTTAATGCCGTAATTTCAAAGCTAGTAGCCTCTCTTGCACTATCTTCAATATTATGAGCTTCATCCAATATTACAATTTGATTTCTTAGTGTTATATCCATCTAATTAAATTAGAGTATATTATACAGTTATCTATACCGATATTCAATCATTTGATGTGAAATAATACTAGACAATACGTATATTACTAGATCCCGAATCGAAGATTCAATTAAGTAATTATATGGACAAAATATAATTTCTGATTGATCTATTAAGCCCCGTGCAGCGTAATAAGGACAAGCCTAAAATAAAAAATACATGATTGTACTGTTTCGGATTACAAATATGCCAGCATACATACTTGTCTAAAATCAGATAAATATATCTTTATTCATAAGATATAAATAACGTGTTACCTTTGACTTGTTGCATACTTGCACAAACTCTTCTATATCCCAAGCGGAATTAATACCTCTAGCTTCCAGTGCTTGATGGCTTTTGAGTCTGGGTACGTTATGGTGGTAAACACAAGATCCTACCTGGAAGTAAACCATATTATTCAAAAAAGTGTTGCTGATACTAAATTAAATATAGGACGTTTAAAGTCATGGCTTGAATTAAAAATTTCTTAAATACCTCAATAGCTAAACGGCAATCGTCATTTTTTGATGAAGATTTGGATATCTTCGGATGGATGCAAGTAAAATCACGACTTGATAATATTGTCATTCTATTTTTAACGAAATGTTTTTTCACTACAGTCAATATTGCAAAGTATCAACACCAAAACACATTATACTAGTCCTAACTTGACATTTCTGTATGCCGTTTTCTTAAGCTCTCTGATAATTTGAGCTATTTGCTTATGTGTTCTTGTGCCAAAGAAAATCTTTGGAACACTGCGTAACAATACGAGGACGTTACCAGCAAAGTCACAACGTTTAAAAGTTATTAAAATGAAATGAAATATGTCCTCTCATAACTACTGTATTTTACACTATATCTCGACCATGTACCTAGGCGTGTAACTTTTCGGAATTGATTTCTTCGAGCTCGATGTGATTTCCGTGGCAGTAGAAGCCTCCACTTGTGATTGCGCTTTGTCATCGAGCAAATTCTGGCTACAAGTTGGAACACGCTCGAATACTGACGTGATAGCTTGAGTCGATGGATCTTTATTGCTATTCTTCTTAGCTTTTCTCCCCTTCTAATTTTCAAATTGTATTACACAAAAAAATCATGTCAAAAAGCACTCAATAAGCTTTGGCTTAATGAAATATATACTATCAATATACCTTAATATCATAGTAATTAATCTGAAATTTAAGCATTAGGAGTATGCTTAGAATGCACAGAGGTACATCGACCTACCCTAGAATCAGTCGGTGGGCGAAATCTTTTCTTATCAGGCATAAAATCGTCTTCATCGTCGATATCACGAGTCAGATCTAATTGAATGTGCTTTTGCACTAATATATATTTTAGTAATATTGAGTTGGTGATATATATCTGTATATATGTATACTTGTGTACCGTATTTAATAATTTTCAATGGTCAATTAATCTAAATCTAACAATCCTAAAACTATTAATGTACGTACCTCCACTAAAGTTTTCAATACCATGACCAATCTTATCAGAAATACAAGTACTCGATGTTTTCCTTTCTTTACTTTTAGATAAATTTTTATTTTCCAGTTCAGCAGTATTTGACGTAGTATTAGATTCAGTATTGCAAGAGGTGACTAGGGATGTGATTTCTTTGTGTAGTGTGAAGGAAAGATGTAAAATAACATGAAAGACATCAAAACGGTGGTCAAGAGAATTGTGATAGTACAGCACAATAGCCTCTGATACACCGTGAAGAATAAATGCAAAGCTAACGAACTTCTTAAATTACATATATTACCAACTGTTAAATAGGCAATTAATGCTATATACTCTATATATATCGATAATCAATAGTTAAACGTATAAAATTAGACTAATCATAGTAAATCCAACAACGATTTGCAGACCTTTAGAATCATAACTGTACTGAGTTACATAAAGCAAATATCTTGAAATAATTGCCTTTACCTTCTGTAGTGCTAGCATCGAAGGCCTTTAATTCTTCTTTCTCTTCAAGCATTTCTAGTAGGTATTCCTGACGACACTTTTCTGAAAAAGCATAAGATGAAATAACTTAATAAATATGCGGATATTATTTTTCCTAAATCAGGTTAAAACAGTCAGGAACTAAAAATTTATGATTATATCTACGTAATTATAGACCATATTCATGGGCCTGCCATGCCAAAGCAGAGCATAGTAAAGCTAAGCTTTTACCACTGCCAGTAGGGCTTTCCAGCAAACAATGTTTTCTCTGCTGCAATCCTTGGATTATCTGTAAGAATTTATACAAAATACAATATTCATAAAGTTTCTGGATTACCCTCATTAACTAAACTAATATCTCATCACCTAGTGTAGTATATTAATGCAATTATATCATGTATAATTTCACTTTCTACGGTAATTATAAAGTTATTACAGTGTAAATTATGAATTTATTTATAGGAAATTTAGTGATCTACATAAGTGTAAGTTGCTCATTTCGCACAGATGGTACATTTTGCATTCGTATACGGTATGTATTTATCATCCACAATAATTAATCAACGGTACATAATTATAAGCTAACAGCAAAGGCCTCATAAATAATTACCACTGCTCATCTGCCATTAGAAAGTTATATAGCACAATGTAGCCAATCAAATTTGATGCAAAGTTTCACATCCAGATATTTAAATTACTACTTACACTGTACTGTACTGCAATTCAATTATTAACTTTAACAATTTTTATTTTTTTATCACTTACCTTTGACATCATGGAGAGTTGTGAAGGATATGCTTTGTACGGAAATTCTACCTGTACTCCGCTAATGGTGTAAGATCGATTATTATCGATATTAGTGACGGATGTTTTGACATCGTTTAAATTGTTCATATCGAAATTGTCGAAATTTTACTTAATGATCAGTGCCTAATTAACACATCGAAACGTTTATAAGTCAAATGCAACCATCAAATCCTACAGTAACTCCCATGCATATATATTGTACTGTACAGTCTACAACCGCCCTTCTGCTGTACAGTACAGTAAAGAATTTAATTTAAATCAAATTAAATTCACTTTTCAGGGAACTTCAGCGCCGAGATAGCTGAGAAAGAAAGTGAAGTTGCAAACACGCCTGTTGGGCAGTGTTCACATTCCAAGTCTCTATGTTACAGTCCATGCAAGAGTCTGCACTGTACTGTACAGTACTATACTGTACCGCAATGCAATGGCGGGAGTCCATTCAAATTTAAATTAAATAACTTTTAAAAAAGTACAGTACTGTATACAGTACACTAAGTACAGTACAGTACAGTACAGTGTACTATATAATACAAAGTACTGTACCGTATAGCAATTACTGTGAATTCGAGTGGCAAAACTACAATAACTGGTATTACGACATGACTTATAAAACGGTTGGAGCGACCGTACATATAACAGCGACTTATAGTTTGTATAAGAAACTTTAAAGAAATTTAATTAATCAATACTGCGATAAAAGGTAATAAAAACATCAAGAGCCAATTGCTCAAGGTTGTAGTGATCTGTCTGTGTGGAATTGGAGCCAAATTTAAAGTACATTTCTTCAAAATTTAAAGACATACTTTAAGGCAACACATATAGCTGAATATCTCTCAACCATTTTAGCTTTCTCACCACGCCCTTATAATAGTGGTCCAAATATTCATGGTGGATACTAGACAGTGGACACTCCCAGGGACTACTAAAAAGAAAGAGATGAGACGGGACAGGAAACTACCACGGTGTAAAAATAATGTAGAGGCTTATTATTTTTTCGGTCATTCTACTATATGCTACCGATGAAACTAGCGTTGTTGATAATATAATGTTTAATAACTTAGCTGGCTAATAGCAGCTAATTTGGACGTCAGTCGTAGACAGTATAGTGTATCGTTACAGACGTGCGATACAGTTGAAATGACCAGTAAAACAATCAGCCTCAACATTATTTGCATAGCGAACAACCGTTTCCTGTAATGTCTCTTACTTTTAGAAGTCCCTGACACTCCCCGTACTAGCAATACAGTATATAATGTTTTATTACATTCCTACAGTATACGCAGCGTATATTATTACTATTTTTATATAAAAAAGGATGCAAGTTACGAGAAAATATAGTAAAGTTCTAAATATAAATTACAATTTGATGATTCCTGATGAAAACTTTCATATAAATCCTTTTCGTGTAGTAAGTACTTAATTCAGTATAGTAAATCTTAGCATATATCGCACAGTACAGAATAGTACATTTGAGCAAAATGAATTCATATCCGCGCACAGCCTTTCTTTGATTACGTAAATAAATTATAACTCTTATATTTGTACTTTATCTGCAGTGTCAAGTAAATCTGTGATTGCTATTGAAGATATTGTGAAGTACTGTTTGTTTCTCAAGGAACAAAGAAATTGAAAATTACTTATAACTCAATCATTGACAGGTTCTTTGCCAGTCAAATCTACTTTGATTCCAACTATTTTTAAAGACTTTAAATTGTTGTCACGAGAGTATCAGCATAAAAGGAAAATTAGAAAAACAGAAGAAATAAATACAGTAGTAACTGTACAATGTATATCTAATAAAATCTAAATTTTTTAAATCACACCTTTTGGATAGCCATTAATAATTATAATTATATATAACATATATATATATATAATTAATTGATATCCGTTACTGTATTTTAATAACTACACTTCGCTTGAAATCACTTTAACCATCTTCCTGGGCTCTATAGACCGCCTCTGTACTACGTAGTCCATCGCCAACGAGTATACGTACTATATACTCGTATTCATTTTTACAATCAGTTGACAATGCATATACTGTATCAATAATTGTCATTTCTACTCGGCATCTATTAATCATTAATTTTAATTAAAAAGAGAAAAGAATTTGGCTAAACTGAGATGCTGATCTCTACATATTAACTGGTGATAATTTAAAAACCATACTTTTTAACTTTCAACCAAGAAGTAAAATTCAGTACGCTAATAATAATAATCAAATACTCAAAGGTCATTAGTTGTCCACAAAAAAGGTAAAAAAGTCATTAAATTATATTTAAAATGGCCAATATAAAAAGGGAGGAAGCTTTCAAAAGTCTTATTGCTTCAAAGCATCCCTTGTGTCTCTTTATCTGTCGATTCTATATATAGATACCGTTATGTTCTCTCGGGCGACGCTAGGTCGATCACGCAATACTAGACATTACAAGTCTATCATACATAAGAGATGCCGTGTAAAGTACAGGCATACTACCTGATATCGCATATTTAGCTCGGTATTGCTTCTAATTAATTTAATATAGCGAACGTGATCCACTAAGACATGATTAAAGGAACCCGTTGACTATGCCTAATCACCAAATAAAGACAGCTTTGACGACACAATAGACTAATACCGGGCATATTATGATTAATTTACTATAGAAAATTTATTATTTAAAATCCAAAATTTTCAATAATCACATCTATTCAAGAATTGCGAAGAGAAATTTAATCAATTACTATAAAGAATGACTACATTGAGTAAAGTAAATAGAGGTGCAGTCACTCGAAACAGAGTAAAATGTTCGGAATCTATTTCATCCAATTCTGTAAATACAAAAGGGCATATTCTGCTGGAAAATTGATTTTAACACTTTAATACCTGTCGAACCCCTAATAAAAGTAAATGATTACACTTTAAACCAGTGGTCTTGTTAAACTTGGCCGTAGAACAGGATTTAATGTCTGCGATTGTAAATATAGTAGTGTAATACGTTTTTTGCGGACAGAAACGAGTACAAATTTTTCATTTTTAGGATTTATCTGCATTAGATATGACATCTTAAAGCTAGCTATAAATAACGCCATTATTTGACATTAGCACAAAGAACGCCCCTCTCTTAGTGTAATAATACTTTTAAAAACTAGCCGTAGTGAATACTATCGTTCATTGTAAATAATAAATAACAACTTCATTGTTTCCTGTTCGTAAAACAACCATTTTCATATAATTGTCAGAGTAAGGTTATTACGCCTTTCTCAAGTATTTTTCTGAAATTATAATGACAAACAATAGATGGAAAGAGCATACACCAAACGCTCAAGCATAAAGGTGGCTTATTTGCCTGCTTCTATGGCATCGTAGTATCAGATCGTAGCGTACAATAGCCAAGTTACGATATTGTACTCTCTTAACAGTGAGAATTTTAATTTGTACTAACCTATGCATGTAGATTGTAAATAAATTTATTAAAGAATAATACCAAAATAATTTATGAGTATATTCAAAAAGCATGGGTTGGCTTGAAACAGGGAAATCTTTATGTTTTAGAAGCTACAGTTCAATTCAGAAATATTAGTTCACTTAATTAGAAGCTGCAGCTCTTCATCTATAGAAAATATTTTCGTAGTATTAGCCAATTTTGATTAGCGTAGGTAATAGTGATTACGATACGACCATTTCTTAAAGGGGTTATCTATCGCTGTAGATCGTATTATAATTTTAGGGTAGCAAAATGTATCAGTGGTTGTTAAGCGATAGTTTCGATTGTAATACATCTTCTTCATGTTCGTGTTATGAACTCCACTAAAATTTCCTATTAAGCAATAGGGGTTGAGTTGTCTTAGTAAAATTAGGGTGATACTGTACCTTTACTTCAAATTAGTATACAAAATTAACATCATCATGCCTTCACAAATTACAAACTTTGCTCAGCTATGCTCTATGTAAAACAGAAAACTATATGAAATTCAGTGCATTATATATAGATTAATTGTGGATTGATGATTATATCATATCAATATTGGCTAAATGATATTAGCCTTGTACGTAATTTGAAGTTACTATTGATAACACCAAAGAGATAACACAAATACATTAAGTTTGATAATAAGTAGGAATGGTTAATAACGTGAATAAGTAAAAGTTGAAACAATAATTTGAATATCTTCAGTAATTCTTTAGGATATTGAAGGACTAAGTAATTATTTAATTATTATAACAAAAATAATTGACAATCAAAAAATAGTATTGTCCTTAAATAGATAGAATATCGCTAAAATAACGCTAATTGAAAGTCAAAAAGCGCCTTCAGTGAAACAAGTAGACTACGGCAAGTGACGTTACTAGATAATCTGTCGCCATACGCATTTAATTAAATATTTGAATAGCCCTGATGCATTCAAATTGCGTTAGGGCACAGTGACACTATATCTTAAATTATCACTAAATAATCTAATAAGATAAACCGTTTTAGTATATCTAAAAAAATCTGTCATTGCAGACTTAACAACTTTAAATAGAGAGGTTATAGCCCATGAATAAAAATATTTACATATCATTACAGAGAATGAGGCAGACTTAATAAATAGCGGCTACATGCCATTCAAATGAAGAGGTTGTACTGAATAAGATAATTGCACAGCGATGCAGCAAGTATAGATGATGGCCATCTCACGAAAGTTAGCTAGAGATAAATGATCCCATTCTAAACACGTACAACAAAAATTTGAAAATCGCTATTTAATTTACTCAGTATTAGTAAAATGAGTGAAAAATTATGTATAACAGAGCTGATAAATTAGTAAAATTACGATTTATTCAGGCTTTTGCAGCCTGTAGATTTATGAACATACTATAAACATGTAATCATGATGTTTACAGTAATGAAGAAAGACCAGGTGAAATCGCGTATTTCAGTAATGATAGTTCAATCTAATGTATAGTATATCAGCTACTGTGCAAATTTACATCAAGATAAATTACGCAATTTAAGCAATTATATATAATTATAAATGATAATGTTCCCTCTCCCAATAATGAAGTCTTCATTAAAATCTAGATGAAGAGTATAACTATCACTGGCGCTACATAGTATCAA